TAATAAAAAAAAATGTTCAGTAGAACTGGGTTGGCAGCTCAGGCCACCAATCCCATAACTTTATGCATGAGAATTGCCAGGGGTTAAAGTCCACTTTGATCTACATGGTGAGTGGGTATGTGCATCATATACGTGCCTATGTCCTCAGAGGTCAGAAGAGGCATCCAATCCCCATGTGGGTGCTGGAAACTGAACTTGGGTCTTCTGCAAGAGCAACAAGGAGTCTTAAATACTGAGGGGCTTATGTCCAGCCCCTCAGATTTATTTCCTAAGAAGATAAAACATCACATGCTTTTCTTCATCCAAATAGTTTATTATATATTCATACATATAAAACTTAAATTAATTACTTTAAATTTTAATATTCAGATACAAAACAATGTTCCTATGCATTGGCAATTTATGAAATTCCAAAATTCTAGCTAGAATTAAATAATAAAATAAAGAACTGTATGTTCGTGCATCTTGTCTCAGTAGTCTGAGTGAGTGATTAGCATGTGAAAGTCCACTGTTGAGTTATTACTGCACGAGATGATCAGGGTTATAGAAGTGGAGGGTATTTTCATAAAGAGGAGTTTGTAATTAGTGCCATATAGATAATGTTTAGTATGACATACAACAAGCGTGGGATTTTGTTTTGAGAAACCTTATATTTTATTCATGACATGAGATGATTAGTATTATTGCTTGTAATATAGCATTTATAAGTGTGGGAATTGAGGCTAAAAAGGTAAATGACTCTCCAAGTTTGGTTGAGACTTGTGGTACGTACTGGCACTGATGCTAATTCATGTGAAGTAATGCTTTGGTAGCATTTCATTTCGGGATGTTAGCTGCTTATTTGTAATGAAAGCGTTTAGAAAACATAAGTTCATTCAATACCAGTGACTGTTTATCTCAAAAGCTGCATTTTGAAGAGTATGGAAGGTTACCCATGAATGTAACTCCACTCCACCCCCACCCCCAACTCCTATACCAATTTATTACAAACAAGTAAAGAACATAAAGTCCTCAGTTCTCAAAGACCTTCCAAGAATTCTTTATAATGGTGAAAAAATCTTATTTGGAAATAATAATCATGAAAAATAAACACTGAGGTGATGACTCAAACATTAAAGTGCTTACCACACAGGCAAAAGGATCATCATTTTAATTTTCAGAACCCTTGTAAATGCTAAGTGGGCAACACAATCCACCTTTAATTCCAGCCTGGGAAGTGAAAACAGATCTCCACAGCAAGCTGTCTAGCTTTACATCGACATGGGCCAGACCTGGGTTTTATTTAAGGATCTTTCATCAAATAACATGGAGGGTACTTGAAGAAGCCTCCTCATATGACTCTCTGGGGCTCCCCCATGCATGTGCACATACATGTCCACATGAAGGCATACAAACACACCCACTTACATGTGTGCAAACACATATACACATAGGCATACACATGACATATATATGTATGTCATGTGTGTGCCTATATACATATATATGTGTGTGTGTGTATATATATGTATATATATATATATATGTGTGCGTGTGTGTGTGTGTGTATACATGAAGAAAAAGTATGTTGACTGCCCATATAGAATTAACATGATGAAGAAGTTATTTGGAAGTTATTGATTCTATATCTCTGTCATTGAAGGATTCCACACCATACATAGACAATATTATCTAGCTACATACTATGTATATTACTAATTTCCCCATAATGTTTATTTGAATACATCAACTGACTATTTCCTAATATCTTAAAGTATATCTGTTTCACTAATCTACAAGAAAAATAGAATGAATACCTTTTCCAGCTAAATGATACTTATTTGGCCTAGCTTATACAACATTTAGAATATCTTGGGCTTTTTATTTTGTGAGTTTATCCTTTTCATCATTTAATTTTTTTCTTTTTATTTTTTTTCTCATCCATGTAAGCATGTATATTGTACTTAGAAGTTGCCTTTAGTTTTTTTCCTGCATAAAATGCTACCTTTATAAATGACTTTCCTCACTGCAGCATTTACTTGCATTTTATTCTACATATGATAGCTTAGTAATGTGATTTCAACAGTTTCTATTGGAACTGCAGTTTCAGGCTAACTCGGGAGCCAGAGAGAATGTCTCCAAGCAGACAGGTGTACAATGGGAAAGTATTACTCCCAACTTTGCAGAGCTCAGGCGACTTCTAGGTTATTATTGGCTTTAATTATCACTCGCATGAGCTGCGATATTCTTTACTGCTGGTGAAGCAGCACTCCGCAGAGTGTGAAATCCTTCTCTGCTTTTGAAAATACCCAAGAAACCAACTGAATCACTTCCAATCTGCGGTAACAACTGAACTCCCACTGATAAGTATGAGCAAGGGGCAAATTTATCATCGCCAATAGAAAATGGACTTTTTGAAAGTGAGATTTGAGACATCTAGCTGGCTGCTTACTACCAGAGAAATCAGCTAAACCGATTCTACCTTCATTTTAAACTCACGGGCATTTTATTTTCCCTGATTGGTATTCAAGCTGATAAAAAGCAGTCTATTTTTATGCCTGCACTTTATTTAGTGATATAAAATTTAAACTCTAAAATATCAAGATAAATTGTCATAACCATTAATTCTCAGGCCCACTTCCCTCCACAATGCCTGCATCTTTCCTTCCTTTAGCTGTCTCAAAGTATAAGTCGAACCCTTGGATTTGGAAAAGGTTTCATTCAGTTTTTCTCCAGATGTGCAACCCATACAATCCCAATTTTTTGCCTCTTAAGGTACATCATCTATAAACATACAGCATAAAGACATATGCTATTAATACTAATATCAGTTTTCAATGATTTCTCACTTCTCAGTACAACCCAAAGGTTTCAGTAGGTCCTTTGATTCTCATACTGAAACAACAGTGAAGTCCTTAGTTGTTTTCCTACTCAGAATCTCTGAAAAATAAAAAGAGGAAAGAAAGACTGAAAAAAGTGAGGAAACTATGCAGAAGAGCAATAAGATATTTGCTATGCCTTCTTACTTTAATTACCTGAACATGAAAGTATTACTACAAACCAAACAGAATAAAATTCAATCAACACAGTTTTACTTAAGTACATTAAGTTCTGCATTTAATCTAACAATTTAGTTTAAAAATCATCAGTGTCATATGACAGTAGTTTTCTCATTTAATTTTAATTGAACATTCAGAGATTTTTCACTGCCATGGTGTTTTCATTTCTAAACCCAAGTGCTATGATTGACTTATGACTATATTAAAAATTCTACATTTGTCTGAGACATAGCAGGTAACCAGTGATATGGCAAAAGTGTATGAACACGAGATTGTCATTTACTGATGTTCAATGTTACATTTCACATGTGTGCCTGCAATTTTTAAATCTTGTAGCTCTTGAAATTATAGGTATGAGAACCACAAGGTAAATCAAATCAGAGAAAAAACAATAACTGTGAAATCACTTTCTTTTGCTTTGGCTGCCTTGTTTCTACAGATGTCTGAAATAGAAAAACCAGCAGTGGCTTTATAAATGGCAGGGGAACCTTGATCATAGGAAACAGGAGATTTTAAAACTTCTCTCTTTATATAATGTATTTTCACTTTCAGTTTCTGAAGCTAGTGGACCTCACCATTAGGAAATATCAGCTCTCAGAAGAGTAGAACATAATTCTACATGTTGTAATGGGATAACAATTCTTGGCCATCCTAACTTTGAGACTCATGAATCATCCGTATAATTTCTACTTTCCTCTCCCATTCTAACGTAGTTATATTATGATGCATATTAAAACCTGGTATCTCATGAAAATGAGGAGAGGGTCTAAATGTCTGTGGTATTGAGAAAAATGAGGAAAAGAGAAATAAAAATAAGCAAGTAACCCCCAAATGGGATCATTTTGCTTGAAAGAAGCATCTCAAGTGAATCCATAGACCATTTTCATAATTTTCGCAGAACCTCTTCTTTTTCTTAAAATGACAGTTCAACATACATTAAGTAAAGTTTTGCAATTCAATATCCCAATCACTTCATAGTGAGTGCTTCTGCCGGTGGTCTGAGCTGTGTCCTCACAATGGTGGCCGTCCCTTTGCTAGCATGTTAATACTAAACATGCAAATTGCCTCTGTGTTGTGGCACCACAGGTCACCTGGAGACTTGCCATGTCTGCTATTATGATCAGAGCCAGAGCCAATTTCCTTCAAACCATATTTTTGAAGCTCAGGGGCATTATCCAGAAGCAGTCAAAATGACAGGGCACAAAGAATATGAGCAGAGTGAACATACAGCAAAGACATTCAAAGGAATATGACTGAGATTTAAAAAAATAAAAAAAGAACTGATTTTCAAAACCTGCCCAGCAATTCTGATGGTGCAGTATCTTTAAGTTTTAAACACTTTGAGAAAGGGTATGCGAGTTGCTCTTCTAATTCTGTGGTACTTTTTTTGTGAGAAATAGGAATAGAACTAGACTGAATTTCGTTTTAAAATACTTTCAAATTTAGTCCAGGTGAAATAAAAAGTGTCATGAAAATGTCAGCTGTGCCTTATAAGATTTAGGGTGTGCTACTCAGAGATGTAATGGAAGGCAGGTATCAGTAACCCAAGCAGTTCATTCTCTTCTCATTTCATCTTCAGTGTGAACATTTTTAGACATGACTTATAGGAAGAAGACTTCGAAACCATCCCTGACCAATAACCATGACATTGAAGACATGTTTAAGTGGAGATGCCTATGTAGGAATGATTAGTAGATCCATACAATTATGTAACTCAAGTCCAAATTAAAAAGGCAAGTTTTATTAATTAAGTAAATATTTTGCCATCATAATTTACTTCACAATTACCAAAATATTCAAATATAATATCATTTTGCTCCTCAAATAAAACTGAATAACAAAATAAAGTCTTTGCCTTCTATAATCCATGCTCTACAGCAATGAAGAAAAACTAGAAGTTACTTATCCTGATAGAGGTAATGTTTGAGAATAATTACAAGCAAAGTGTCTCTTTGTCTTTAGGGACTTAAAAAAGCATGAAGAACTGAGGATGAAGAAAACGATAAGATGGTCAAATCCTGTCAGCGCAGGTGTATGATTACGAGTATAGATGAAAGAAGACGCAGATGTCAAAAGCAGTAGTGGAAAGCACAGAGATAAGGTTCTAAGATAATGGAAGAGTTGAGTCGAATTGCTACTGAACGATTGAAGACTGGAACTAGAATATAAAATCTTTAGATACAATAAATCTGCATTTGATCTTTCTTTTGACATATGTGTGCCTATCTCTGCCCTGTCCTACTGACAAGAGTATGTTTGCACAAATGTCACAGTTCATGGAGCCTCTTCAGACTCCCATCATCCACTTCCCTTGCACTTCCTTCCTCTTCATTTGTCATAGTTCTCATAAAAACAGCATGGTCTACTGAGTACTATGGAAATTTCCACTTGTCTATGGGTTCTGGAAGAGCAGACATCACACCACAGCATCACTTTTATTCTTAACATCCTATCACAGAGTTTGCAACTATACTATTTACTCAATAAATTTTTAGTAAGTTTAATTTTGTACAAAAGGAATGCATCAGGCAAATAGAATATTTTTCATATCCCAATAACCAGACAAATACCACCTACAAAATCCTAATAAGAAAAATTACACTCAGAGCTTGTACAACTAAATGTGTCATTTTTATTAGTGTAAATTAAGCACTGATTTTAAGTTTAGTGTTAACCATTTTCATGAAAAAAATTGAAAGATATATTTTTTGTATTTTCATTTACTATTTTCTAGTATGTTTATTTTTAAAAACATGTACTATTTTATATTTTTCACAGGAAGATAACATATAAACAGGCTTTCATGTCATTAAAAGGTTTTTATAATTCTTCATTTGGAGAAGTAAATTACATCTGAATAAAATTAAAAGCCAATTTCTTCTTGATTTAGACACTTACCATCGTCTACAGCAGCTATTATTAAGAACATTTCAATAAACAAAACTACATTGAAAATTCATCTTACACCAGTCAGAATGGCTAAGATCAATAAAGCGAATGGCAGCATGCTGGCAAGGATGTGAAATAAGGGAACCACTCATTTATCGCTGGTGGGACTGTAAACACGTACAATCACTATGGAGATCAGTGTGATGTTTCCTTGGGAAGCTGGGAATAGATAATCCTCAACATTTTATATATATATATATATATATATATATATATATATATATATATATATATCTTGAAATTATACCCCAAGGGATGCTTCATCCTACTACAGACATACAAGCTTAACCATATTCAGTGCTCATAATAGCCAGAAATTGGAAACAGCTTAAATGTCCATCAACAGATGAATGGATGTAGAAACTCTAGTATATTTACACAAGGCAATATTATTCAGAAATTAGAAAAAAAGAAATTAGCAGGAAAATGGATGGTGCTAGAAAAAAAAAAATCATGGTCATTGAGGTAAGAGAGACCCAGAAATACAGATGTTGTACATCTTCCCTTACTTGTAGATGTTAGCTGTTACGTATAAGCAAGGTACAATACATATAAACAGAGAGGTTATGTACAGAATAAAGGACTAGTGGGGAGAGATGGGTCTAAGAAGGGGAAATGAAATAGTTGTGGATGTATGAAGGAGGACTAGACCTGGAGGATCAAATGGGGAGGGTAAGAGAAGAAGTGATTAGGCAGGGAATATGAGGATGGACACCTAAAACTAAGGCCAATTATGTGGTCTTATGGAATTCTAATACAGTAGAAACTTGCTAAAATGTCCACATGTATGAAGGCAATATAAATGAAATTACAAAATTATGCGGGACATAGAACCCAACTAAACATCACTCATCACCAAATGAAGCTCACAGTATGAGGAATAAATCTAGTCTAGTTGCCTGCTAAAGAGCCCCATTCAAACCCTCAAGCAAACTAGTCTGTTGCCAAGGCTATTGGTTTCTTTCCACAAAGTGACAGGAAGATCCTGTTACTGAAGACGATAGCTGCTCAACTCATTAAACATAGAAGAGTCTACCTAGTACCTCCTATTGACCAGTGTTCATGGTATTTGGAGGAACTCTGCATGCTACCAAAGAAAAACAGTAAACACAAACCCGGGTACAAACTCTTTGACTGAAAATGATGGTATCTTCTTGTAAGATATACTAATGCAATTATGTCAATGCTTGTGGGACTAACGAACAAATATTTTATTGGAGTTAAGGCTCCCTTAATGAGATGGAACCCGTACCTGACACTGCTTAGGGAAACGTGAGACAGGATAGTCCAGGGACCTAGGGGGAAAACCAAATACTATTGTTCTGCTAAAAAAAATAGCCATAAAATGACTCCTAACAGCATTCTGCTATGCTCATAGGTTGGTGCCTTGCTCAGCCTTCATCAGAGGAACTTCCTCCTGTAGCAGATGGGAACAAATACAGAGACCCACAGCTGAACAATGACAGAGAGTCACAGACCTTGGAACACTCAGCCCTAATAAAATGTCTTCATCAAATCCCTCCCCTCACTGCTCATGGAATCCTGAGGAGATGGAGGACACCAAGCCAGAGGGGATAGAACACACCAAAGAAAGAAGGCCCCCTGGACACAGCAGAATCGATGTACATAGGAACTCAGAGTTTGGTACCTGCCGTTCAATGTGGCAGCACATTCAACCAGTTAATTTACTCACAGCCAAGGAAGTACAATTAAAAAGAAAAACATGGATGAATTTAGTGTTCTGCCTCATTCTCGGGCTCATTCACAGGCTGACGCTTCAATAACTTCCTTACTCACCCAGTATCATCCACCTGGAGATGGTGCCACCCACCATGGGCTGAGACTTCATATATCATTTCATAATCAAGACAATTCAGTCTCATCTGATCTAGGCAGTTCCTTAATTGAGGCTTTCATTTCATATGACTGTGGACTGTGTCTAGCTGATTATAAAAGCTAATTAGGAGAGGCTCTTTTTTTTTTACATGCTTTTGTCATTGTCCAAGTTAAAAGACCAACAAAAATGTATAATTTGCTATATACACTTAAGGCATCAGTTTCAGGTTTTAGAACACACACATTTATAGCATGTTGTTGTACTGAATACTTTAGATAATTTTAGTACCGTGGTATTTGCAAGCATGTACGAATATAGAAAATGTACAATAAACATAGTAACCATTGGGAATTTTCAGCTCCATTATGATATGATGCAACCACTGTATGTACAGTACATTTCAGACTACCAATAGTCATGTGTCACATGGTTGCATGTACAAATATATCACATGTGACTCAGCCAATGGAGAATCAGCAGATCTAGGTATGTGGAAGTATGGACTGCAGACTGTGGAATAACAGCAACTGGGTTTCAATTCACCCTGACTCCTTAGATGTACGGGCTAAGATAAAGCATGTGATTGCTCTGTGTCTCTATCTCTTCATCTACAAATAAGATCATACTTATATATACTGTTATAATTTGAGAAGTGCATTCAATATCACATAAATATCCCTGAAACTGTTTCAGCCAGCAGTTTTTGTGCAGGGGAGGAATCACTACAAGATATAGAATAGAAAAAGCCTTGGATGGTAATGGAACTTTGAACAAAAGTCAACAGAAAAAGACAGCTAAACAATAAAATGAGTGCACATTAAATAAAGCATAAGGGAGAAAAATCTTATCAATTGACCCCCCAGAACTTGAGTTCCAATTACTACTATAAAGTGTGAAGAGATAAACAACTGTGTTTAAAAAAATAATAAAATAAACTTTTATCCTTTTTAAACCAATATAGAACCTTTTTAGATTTAAGAAGCCCACAAACATGGAAAAGCTAATACTTTTTTGCACACAAACATTTCTGTTTATTTAGCTCAGCTTTTGTCTACCATAGACCAGTGGATATTCAGGGCTGGATTATTCTTTGTTGTTGGGGCTCACTTGTTGGATGATCAAATATACAACGCTTCACTATTCTCTGTGTTGGAGGTTGGTAGAACCATCACGTTCATGACAACCAAAATAGTGTTCTGAAGTTGGCAAGTAACTACAGGTAGGTGGAGAAATTAGTTACATAGAGAAATCACCACCTTACCCAGATAATAAAATCATGTCTGCTCAGAATAACTGCTGAGTAGTTTAGCAGGGATCTCAACACTGTTATTTTTATATTTATTAGGTTCTTCTAGTAAGTATTCAAAGATTACCCCTCTAGAATACTAAGCACCCTTTCACACTCAAAAGTCACAATATCACTGTGTCTTCTTGTATCTGCTTCTCTCAGAATATTTTATTTGATTATTTCCATTTTTACTAAATATTTTTATTCTTAAATAATCCTGTATAGAATATTGATATATCCGCCACTAAGCTCTTTCCATATTCTGCTAGCAATGAGTTCTTATTTGTGAATGCATGGCCCAGATATCTATAACCAGAAAAGGATAGGTCCAGAAGTACAACTGAACTTTCATCTGTCTTATCCTCACCTCTATGTGTAAACAGAAGGCACATGGCCTTATTAATAAGCCAGATAAATCTTATCTGTCATATCACATTTAAAGACAATAAAACAGGCACTATTCATAATGCAACTTACTTAATACCTGTGCTACATGTTTTTAGACTTTGTGAAGTAAAACTTAATTCTAAAGACAACATTAATTTATAACAAACAGCGATATTTTATACTTTTCCAAGGGGGAATACTCAATACATAAGGCAGTCATGGAAAGACATTGATCAATGGAAGCAGAAAAATCAATCAATAAGATTGTGTTTGTTACAAACAGCCAAAAGTGCCCATCCTTACTTAGCAACCAAATACCATCCCACTAATTCATGTCACTACATGTGACTGATAAAACTGACTTTAGAACTCTACATTCAATTCTACCGTGTTTAAACCTACTATTCTGTTTTGTCCTGTTCATTATTAAATTGTTCTCTTTGCCCAATGTAAAAATATTTTAAAATGAACTTGTAAGGGCCCCAGGTTTTTAGAGGCTTATTTTACTTTATTCAGATTGACAGAAGAAGAAAAAAAACCCAATGAAATGCTGAAATTTATGTTAGTATTACTTTATCACCTGAGTCTCATAATAAAGCCCCATCTTACCTTATAATTTCATACAAAAGCAAGATTATCAAGTGGTTTCCTTAAATCCACCCCCAAAGAGTTTTCCTGAATCTACTTTCTTAACATGATGCAAGATGCCTTTGTCAGTCAAGCTCCTTGTGATGATTGTGTTT